AGAGCCGACTGTGGAAAACAAGAATAATGCCACAACATAAAGCTCCTAATAAACACAATGTTTATCATAACACTAAATAATATTTCATTATTCATGAATTCAGAATTATTCTCTTCTCAACACCAATTTGATCAAGCTATACTTTTTGCAGTATATATTTTTGTATTATTTAAATCTGGTTTTGGAGGTTACTATACAGTTTTATACTATAACCAGTCATTACATCCATTCTGCCACAAACAGAACTTTGAAAGGCAAAGAGCCAACAATCATCCTCTCTCTGCCTCTTACATATTGTTTGAGGGTCAGCAAGCATTGGTTTCTAGGAATTGGGGGCTATCAGTGAGGGCCAATTGGCTCTTCACATGCATGCACAGCAAGCCAAGCAAGGAAGAGCCTTGGCCTTGTTGCTGCTCTGATGCTGTGGCTCACTGGGTCACCATGAGCTCCTAATGACCCAAACAAATACATAATCCATCCCTGTTTGCTTCATCTGCATGGGTCCTCTGCTGTTGATTCGGTCTTTCCCAGTTCGTGTCATTGCATGTGCCAGCTGATAGGGGGATGTTTATGAGCAATTAACAACAATTATGGTTGTCGTGGTTGTTGTTTCCATGATTTTTTTTTATTCTTTTGATGTATATGTGAAAACAACAGGATGATGGGGCTCTTGTTACATGATGATTGATTGTGTCCCTCATACATAATGGTCAGAGGAACTAAAATTAAGCGCATGCAACCATCAAAAAGGTCAAAGCTTTCTTCCATTGGAAGACAGACACTTTTGTTGCTATTGATAGATTGCTTTTGCTCATTTCATCTTGCTTCCACTGGAATTACTCAAAATCACCTTTTAGCTTATTTTTATGAAATGAAGGAAAGAGATGGGCTTTTGGGAAACGTTTGTACTGCAATTCTCCCTTTAGCAACATATAAATTATAAATAAACTGGAGGTAAATTCACAAAGCTGTTTGCATGGGGCAATGTTTAAACAGGAGTTTGCCCTCTCTAATTCTACATTTAAATCTGATCCTATAATTGTGCTAATGAAAAAATACAGCAACCTCTGGAGAAACTGTTTTCTTATATTTGAATTCAGCATGATGCATGCATTTCAAAATTAAGTTAAAGTAAAAACGAATATATGGTCAAAATATGTTACAAATATTTGTATTGTATGTTATTGCAAGTTGTTGGACTTGGCACAAATTGAGAATATGGCTCACTTCATACCTGATTCTCCTCTGTTTTAAATTGTCTTTCTTATTTTACATTGAGATTATGTGCATTGTTATGAATACATTTATTAAAATCACATAGTTTTTTTAAATTTTTAAATCACTATGTGAATTAACAGTTAAACTTCTTTTTTTTATCAGGGCACAGCAGAGCTCTTAACGCAGTTGGTCGGAGCCAAAAATTGTAGATTTCTACAATAAATGCCCACCCAACTGGGTCTAGGTTTGGGATTTATTACAATGCCCTTCTAAGACTTTTGAGTTTAGCTTCACTAAATTCAGATGATATATTAAAAAAAGGGCTTACACATCAATAAAGCTGAATATTAAAAACACAAAATTATAGTTTCTTTATGCATAATATAAGCAATTGGTCTCGTAGGTATGTAAATAAGAAAGGGGACAAAAGAAGTGGACAATTTTCCTAATAACCTTGGTTTAGAGAGTATTTCCTGAGAATAATAAAAAAATCAAAATAAAGGATATATTTTACTCAGCAGAAATTTGGTTACTCTACACCCAACATACTAAACCTTAAAGAACAGACATGTGCAGCTTGAGACTATGACACAATAATATCAAAATGTTCACTTCTTTCCGTTTTTCATGAGCCTCTTGCTTTCCATATTTATGATGCTATATATTCAACAAAACGTTTAAGCTGTTTTCCTTAGTTTGTAAGATTTTGACTTGTGGGTTAGTTGAGGAAAAGGGTACAGGACTTACTTTGGCCTTATATCTAGTCTTAATCAATATTTCATAAGAAACCTTACCTCAGTCCTTTAATGCCTAGCAGGCCCCATTAATTCTTTATTTATCCACAATCTACGGTTGTCGCTCATCTTCCAAAATGAGATATAAGAAGTCTCAAAAACCCACGTTATTACTTAAACTAAAGTATTTGCACAGATCATTGATTTTCTTTGGGCTTGTGCAAGCTTGACTCTTCTTGCTAGACCAATATAGTGCTTAGGATTATGTCTGGCATCATCACATCTGTGGTAAAAAAAATAAATAAATAAATAAAACATAATCATTAAATGGTAGTACAGCTAAAAATCCCTAAACAAATTAACTGAATTAGAGGTTAACAAATAATCTCACACTTATAATTTCGTCTTGAACCAAATTAAAAAGACTTAAAGGCCAGCAGTGTTTCAAAAGTGAAATGTGAAATGTTGAGTAAGACATCTACTAATTGCTAAAATTATATTGACATTTTGGTTTTGTGGAGGCTTCATAGCCTGAACAAATTTAGCTTAAACAAAGAAACTGTTAACTGACTGGATTGACTCACCATTGTCGCCTCCTGCTGTAGCACATTTGCTACAAGGTTCTATGTAAGCTAAGACATTGACTGCGCTGTAGCCAACCGGCCTCCACTGCGAAGAGAGAAATGCCGATCTGAATGAGGCAGATGTTAATGTTCATTCAATATTTAGAAGCGTAGCCAACACAGACTGAACAGCTTCGTTCATTTCCTCCGCTGCCACTGCTAAAACTACAGGCAGTCTACAATTCTAAAACATAGCAGAAAATTGACACCATCATTCACAACTTCTTCTGTTCCCTGATTGACCCTGTAAAAAATCTACCAGAAACAATCCGAGTAGAAGGCTTTGATGAAAGAGTGATTTATTTATTTATTTTTTTGCACAGGAAGGCAATGGCCAGGCTCGCTAGTCATCATTCAGCTAACTTTATGTGCATCTAACATTACGTAAGCTCATTTGTTTGGAAAGAAAACGGTGCAAAGTTCTTTGCCTTTTGTTGGTGTGCTGCCATGATTCTAACACACACAGGCATGGAGCTCTGCACACCAGCATGTCTCCTCGCTGCTGCACAGGTGTAAAACCAGCCTGAGCATCTTAACATTCTTGTTGTATTTTAAGGCTACTTGACAAAACACCTTATGACATGATAACAATGGATTATACAGTTGTAGCGGCTGAAAAATGTGCAGTGGACAAAGGGCACAGACACAAGAAGTGCTGTATCAAATCGATGTAAAGATAGCAAAGTTGGTCACTCCAAGGTAGAAAGAAAAAAAAGAAAGAAACAAAGAAAAAACAAATAAAACACCTTCCGGTCCAGCAGCTTGGATGACTCTGTGGCAATGCCCCCAGCCACATTTTAATTATTGAAATGCTCAGTTTGAATTTTAGCAAGTCATGTTCACCGTCTCTGGCTGGTTATTCAGGTGATTAATCATTTAAATGAAATTATCTAATAAATTGACCAGAAATAGTTTTCAGATATCAACCCTTGATAATTTTAATAGTTGAAACATTGACTTCTGTGCTTTGTTTTCGTCCTTCATGTATACATTTCCATTTGGAGGTAGGATTGCACCAGACAGCAACTTTAAAGCCCCCTAGTTCATCTAGAGAGGTGGCAAAGTCCTAAAGCAACATTTATTCCTGCTCTCGGAGACAACTCTGGAGTCAGACAGGGTTTTGTTGACACCAAAAGGCTCTGGAGCTGTGGACACCCAGGAAGACAGCCTGGTTCTCTTAACAGTTGAGTGCCCACTCTCTGAGCCAACGCTCTGTCTAGCTGACCCCTGGAGGCCCAGTTCTGAGCAGTAATTAGTTCTGCTCTCCCATCGCAAAACTTTCCTGCTTCTCCAAACTCAGAGCATCAAGCTGGTCACACTGACCTCTACGCCAGACCAGACCGTAACTGCTTCCCACAAGTTCACTTAAAATATTGCTGAAAATAAAAAAAATAAGGACCAAGTAGTTTTTTTGGAAAAATCCTAAAGGACTGACTGAGCCCTTCTGTTAGACAAAAAGAAAGTTACTTATCACATATTCATTGTCATAAAACTTAATAGTTTGAAATTGCTGTTTGGTTTTGGCTAAAGGCAGAAAGCTTTATAATAGCCGGGTCGCAATAAAGTGTCAGCAGGCATATTTCATTTGATGCGAAAACAAACTCTTCTGGCCTCTGTCTAATTACTTAGAAGAATTTTACAACCATTCATAATTATGTCTGCACTTTTGACAGCTCCATCTGTTTTCTTAAAGGAGCTGAGTTTTTGATAAAGTGTGTCAGTGGCTTGATTTAGAAGGTGACTTGCAGTGATGTATTTAAATTAAATTTGTATGTTGGGAATTCTGACCACTAGAGGGCTGGGAACCAGCCTCAAACAAAGCTTCTTGTAACTACTAACTTGTCAATTAAACATCTGTGCAACGTAAATAAAAGTATCAGAACTGGGGATAATCACGTGTTCACTTTGTTACATTGCAGCCCCGTACTCCATTGTGTTTACAAGGATTTTGGGTGATATACCAACACAACTTAATGCATAATTGTGAAAAGAATTATTATTTTTTTTTTTTATAAACTACAAATTTTAAAACTGTACCATGCATTTGTATTCAACCCCTTTTACTCAGGTATTTCTAAATAAAATCCACTGCCACCAGTCCCTTCAGGTTATTTACATAGTAAATAGAGGCCACTTGTATGTAATTTGATCCCAGTATAAATACAGCTGCTCAGCGAAGGCCTTGTGTGTTTATTAGAGAACATCGGTGAACAAACAGCATCATTGAGACCAAGAAACTTTGAACTGCATTGTTGCTGAAATGTGCTATCCAAATAAACTTAAACTTGGAACACAGTGGAACGGTCAGGGAGAAAGTTGGGGAAAACCTTGAAGCAATGTTTGACTATTAAACAACAGCCAGGTGAGACATTTTGTTGCTATGAAGCACTCATAGCATTTTAATGCTATGAGTGCAACAAAATAAAGGAGAGAGGCAAGAAAAAAGCCAATTTTAAGATAACCATAAATACTTAAAACTCTCCATAAGCCATTTAGAGGCTTGGTAAACACGTGGAAGAAGGATATGTGGGGAGAAAATACCAATATTTACCAAAACGTCTTGACCAACGTGAACAACAAATAACCCCAACACACATTCACATGGTGAAACACGGTGGTGAGCCGTGGCCAACGTCCAATTCTGACTGAGCTTGAGCGATTTTAAAAACAATGGGAAATGTTTCCGTTTCTTAATGTGCACAGCTTTCAGAAACATACTGCTAAATGTCTGTCACAGAGATGTAATTTTGTGTTTGTGAAGCGACTAAATATAAAGACGTTAAAGGGGTCTAAATAGTTTTGAGGCGCAATACTTAGTGTAAAAGAGGATTAAAATCAATACAGAAAGGGGAAAAAATGACCTCAGTTCTCTAAGGTGAAGGTGGGAAGTTGGATTCTGTAGATTTTTGATTGTTCATCCTTCTTATCAATAAGCCTTTCTTTGTGGCCTAATTTGTGGCCTAAAAACTGAAACTGACCCTGCTCTACGAAAATAAGATGACATGATATGATTTAAAAGTATTTCATGTCTGCAGTAAAGAAAATGATTTTGATGCTAGCAAGCTATCTTTATGTCTTTTGCCTGTTTATCCGTCACATTATGTCTTGTAGTTTGTTTATTGCTTGTGCTGATGTATTTACTTCTTAGGTTTTGTTTGTAGTTGTTTTATGCTTGTGACCTTATTTTAGCTCAGATGTTGGCTTGAGTAGTTGCAGCTGCTTCATGAGCTGAGTTCAGATTTATTAACAATGAGCACATGCAAACTGATGGTCAGAGATAAAATTCACGGTTTAAGTTTTTTTCTTTCAAAGGCTTTATGATTACACATTTTCATGGACTTCTAAGCAAGATCCCAGACATTACTCACATTACACACATTGTTCAATTTGGTCTTCATCACGTTTTGAGCCTTAATTATTCCTTTTTTCTTTTGAAATGTATTCTTCAATGATGGGATGGGTCTTTGTCAGCATCCAGAATGCATCATGCATCCTGAATACTTTTTACGTCTATCAGATGGAGTCCGTCTGTGGGTTTGTCATCGTCATATTTCATTGTCCTGTCTTCTCCAGGCTTCCTCTCCTTTGAGCTCTGAGAAGGAGGGCGGTGAGACACAGCCGTGCCGCCCTATGGAAGACCTGATCACAGAGATAAAGGGAAGAGAGACAATCAAAGATAAAGAGAATAAAAGAGATGACGAGATGAAAGAAAGGATCGCTGCGTCACTGACTGAATTGCTCATTAGATCAGAACAGACCACATTTTGAGAAACGCCCAATGTTAGGAGACGACACTGCGGTGTGCATCTTTTCCCATCCAAACTTTCCGTCTGCCTTTGGCTCCAAACACATTTCTCCACTCCTGTTCCGCAACACATTTTCATGACCTTTACAGAGGCCAAAACACAGTGTTAGAGAAAGTCTTGTGGCTACTGAAGCATACTGTGACGTATATGATACTAGAGGGCCATACATTATCCTGTCACTGTCTGTCAGTTACCCATTACCTCCCTCCTTGCTGAAGACCCTCTTCACTGAAGAGCTTTGTCAGTCTCAGCATGTGCAACTAGCCTAACAGTTTAAATTCAGCATCTGTGGTAGTGGTCCTCCTGGAATTTGAACTTACAGTGTGACAAGGTCGCAAGATAAGATGTAGTGGTATTGGAAATAATAAATACCATTGGTCTCCTGATGAGGGATGAGGTGACTGTGTGGCCAAGGATGGAAACCAATGGTTCAGTGTCAAATCTCAGAAAACAGACCAACGCTCTGGAGCAAATCTTCAGGCCCTCTAAGCAGAAGCAGAAGTCTGCTTCTGGTGAGACAGAGTGGCTTCACAGAAACCCACACGAAGCTTAAAGGGATGGAGAAGAGCGAGGTGAATGAACAAGCAGGGAATGACGCAAAATCTGCAGGAATGAAGCGGATAAAGAAGTGTTAGAAGGAGACGGATGTATTTCATTAACCATTCAGCGCCTTGCCCCATCACCCAAGTTATTGTTATGTCTGTCCATCTGGCGTATAAACTATATAGGCCAGAAGGAAGGAAACGGCCTAGGAAGAAGGATGAGAGCATGATACCTTCTCTGCTCAACTATTATTCTTTGTTAGCCAGTTTTTTTAGCACTGCTCAACCTCTATGGTGGTTTTCATTAAGAAAGGAATCACCTTGGGTTTGCCAGGACCCCCTAATCAAAACCAGACGTGTTGGAGCTTTTAATTGAAGCAAGATGGACCTCCACGTTGTACACAACTAGCTAAATGTGACAACTTATCCCATCACTACAACAGTGTTTCCCAACGGAGCGGAGAGAAAAACATCCTTTCAGTGAGGGGAAATCTAGAGGTTTGTTAATATGGCTCTGGTTTCAGAGGGCTGTTATTGTTGAAACAACTCCAGACTATTATTTACAACCACATGAAGCTCTCTTTCTGCATTGCATTACTTGTATTGTGTTTTAGCGTTTTCATTTTCTCACTGGGTAATGTTATGTCCATTAGAGCAGTGTTTGCTTCAAGCTTGGGAGTTCCAGCCTGTGTGTCCGGTATTAAAATAGCTCTTTGGTCAGCGGAGCTTGCTTTTAGATGAAAGAAAACCAAAGTCTGAATGAAAACGACAACCTCAGAGTCAAGGATGGGTTTTTTTTTTTTTTTTTTTTTTTTAGCCAAAGCACCAGTTCCATTTTTGCTGTTAAAAATGCAATGTTCTCATTCAGATTTCAGCTTTTATATAACTCAAACCACTCCTTTATTTTATACATTTTAAAAATTTAAGAAAATAAACCATCTACCAGCCACCGTGTCTTTCACTCAAAACTTTCTCACAAGCCACTATAAGTGTGTGTTATTTTGAAATATATTAATAAATTGGAAATGTGGCTTCACCGACTCCTGCTGTGTGCTTCTCTTTTGTTGCTCATTTCCTTCTCAAAGCTCCCTTGATGTGGGGCTTGTTTTGCTGTTTTAGAGGAGTGTGTGACCTCAGTAAGTTATTACCCCGGCCCCTAACCATACACGCTCTCTGACCTCTGAGATCAGTAGGCAAAATGAAATCACCTGGCTTGGTTGGAACATAAAATGATGTTAAACTTTTAAGTGAGAAATCTGAAAGTCATACATCTTTGATTATTTTATGGACAGAACAAAAAAAGTTATCCGTTTAGAGATTTCATGAAGCTTTGTGAATATGTAAATCCAACGGGAGTATGCTGAATCCACTGGAATGAATGCAAGAAACATGTAATCACCCACAAATTGTTTCCCACCCAGGCAGATTTATACAAGGCTAAGTCAATGAATTGTTTAGCAGTAGGAATCCAGAGTCTCTAGGGCCATGACCACAGGCATGAAGAGTATCCTCAAGAGACAGAGATAAGAGATGAAAAATTAAAGAGACGCTGCAGATGAATTTCAAACCTTTTATTATCAATGCCTAGTCAGTGAAATTACTGTTAATAAATCATCTTTCTGTACACCTCGGAGAGCAAGCTTTAAATCATTCAGAATTTTATCAGATTTTGTCCAGGATTTTTGGATTTGACCAACAGAATGCTTCTAGTAGGTTTGTACATAAAATCTTGTTTACTTCTGGAAATAAATTTTGGATGTGGGAATTACATCACATCCAACTTAACTACAGCTATTGTTCCACTCACTGGCTAAGCTTCCTATCATTAACAATGCAAGCTAATAATGTTTTGCTGTACAATACCATCACTGGGTGTGGCTTTCTGAGATCCCAATAAATAAAATACAGGTTAGTGTTTTTTTTTGATTGTTCTTTTTTTTACTCCTGCTACCTATTTCAGGAAAAAGGGTTGCTGCAAAGACACTGACTAAAGTGCCGAGCCTCTTACCTATAAGTATTTTTATATTTGGCCGAAAATACCAAACACTTTTTGGCAGTATTGCAATGTCTCCCGTCTGACGCATACTTTCACTCTTTTGGAATCCTGAAAATGCAATAATCCTTCCTCTTTAAAGCAGTCGTGTTTTGAAATGTCAGCATGAGCAAAGATGGGAAAAAGTAGAGAGAAGGAGTGGCAGAAGATGGGACTATATATCACCCATCTGGTCTCAGAATCCTCTGGATTCAACAAGATGAACTGAAAAGTTTCGATGGATGGATGGATGGATGGATGGATGGATGGATGGATGGATGGATATAACTCTTCAAGACAGTTGGAAATACAAATATTTTTCCATATTTTTCATAGATCTGAAAAATAAAATACTTAAATCAAATCCCACTCTCCAGACTTCAGGAACCCTGTTATTCCCACACAGAGGGCTGCATTGCAGCTGGGGGTAAGCAGGGGCAGTCATGGTAGGAGAGGAGGGATACAGGGAGGCCCAGTGTAGAGGGGCTGATTATTAGTAAAAAGAGAGAACAAACTAAGGGTTTCAATATGTCCCACAGCATTTTAAAGAAAGACAACTGAGTTAGAGAAGCCAATTTAGTGTGCCACAACAAGAGTGTTTGCATTTTCAAACTGTTATTCTAACCAACTGTTTATACTGCCATCTTTAAGCCCTCATTTTGCTCTCTGCTGCCTAAAACCTCATCCCCTAACTTCTTATGTCCCAAGGAGGTCATATGACGTGAAACATTGAAGCTTCAGCAGGTAACTTGTATGAACCATATGCTTTTTATTTATTTATTTTTTTACATATTTGTTCAAACTGACACTGAAAGTACATGAGACAGATAATATGTGCAAAAATGAACTCCTCTGCCGTCTCTCAGTGCTCCCAGTGCTATCTGCAGAAATGCAGCGCTCCTGGTCAGGACCAATCAATCAGAGCCAGGAGGAGGGTCTTAGCGCTGTCAGACATGCATGTATATGCTGCCTCCACCCCGCCCTGCAGCTCAGTGTGCTATGAATGCGAAGTCTAGTTAGCATTGCCACCGATGGCAGCAGCTAAACAGTTTTCCTATAGCAGTAAGATGCTTCTCTGCCAGTAGCACAGATGCAGCAAACCAGCAATTTTGAGGTTGTAACCACAGCTTACACTGAGCAGCCCACACACAAGCATGATGGACATTAAGACACTCCTCCTGGCTCTGAATTTTTACATTTTGATATGGAGTGGTGTATTTCTGCAGATAGCAGTAGGACCACTGGGAAGAGACAGAGGAGCTCAGATTTTTCATAGAGTTTTAACAAATAGGTTAAAAAAAACACATTTTTATAAAATTAACCTTCTGCAGCTTTAACTGTCACCTCCAAAAGGTTATGTGAGGACGTTGGTATCCTTACATTGGTATTTGTATTTATGTAGGTAACTGAAGACTAAAATTGTAATACCTTTACATTAAGAGGCTCCTGGTGAATCCTAAATGTGGATTATAACATCTTGATCAATGCAGTTTTGACTAATAGGGTTTTTAACTGCACTCATCTCCTGATCTCTAAGATTTTATATCAGCTGCACTGCCAATCATGTTCATCTACACACTGCTTGGTTTTTATTATATAATATTGCATATTATATTGTCAGGACCGTAACAGGTTTGACAACAAACATTTTTTTTTTCAAAAAGCTGCCTACCTTCAAAAAGCTTCAAAGGTATTCTCAAAAAAATAAGAGAATAAAAGTTCCAGTGAAAGCCACACATTTGGGGAAATGTTACATTATGAATAACATAGTATGCAAGCGTAAAATCCTTCAAAGCCAAAGGTGTTGACTCAGTCAAAGGCAGCTGAAATATTGCAAGCTCTCATTCAATGAGTCATTAAAAACATATATACATTCAGCGCGCTTGTACCACACACAGCTTCAAAGCATTTGGTCAACCATATGACAAGAGGAACTGCACTCCAATTGGTCAACAGACCGTGCTGCTGCTGTGTGTGAAGCATCTTTCAGTTTGTTCTTTAAATTATGGTAAGGGTAATGACACAGACAGTGATGACAGCAGTCGGGTCCCACCAAAGCCCCCCAATATCATCACAATCTACTGGCAACAAAATGAAAGCAGAGCGGCTCCCGGAGTCATAAGCGTACAACAAACAAGAGCAGTCTAAAGCGCTTCCACATTTATCTTGAGATTTTTGATCAAAACAAGGAGTGGCACGGAAACGTTATTGATTGCCTCCCATTCCTTGTGAAGTAGATGGGCCAAAAACAAATAAATCGTAGTCAAATGTAGTTGTGGTTTAGGCACAGCATGAGCAGACTTCTGAACTCCCCTTTAAATAAAAGACCACTGAGCATGTGACGGCGCGAACAATCAAACCGCCCGATGATGACTGAATGCCAGAATACTCAGCCGACCACAAAAACGCATTAATATTATATATTATGTTTACGAAAGAGGAGGAAGCAGCTCATAGACAACTGACTTCTTTTGACACGAAACACCCGCTCAACTTCATTGACTATGTCTCATTAGTCTGGATTCCTTCCACTGTGCTGGAGGGACCCTTCCCAACTCTGAGCCGTTAAAACAAACAGGGAGGTCCCTGAGCACGGTGCTTTGGACAAAGGTTAAAGCAACATCCTCGAGCACTATTCATTTCGGAGAATCCATCCCGCTCGCTGGCTTTGATCCTCTCTCGAGCCCTCTGCCCCTCGTTCTCTGTTTCGTACTCAGATTAGGTAACGCCAAAGTTGTTTTTGCGAAGGAAAGAGCGCAAAGGAAAGCAAAGTTCATTGTGAAGACTAAAGGAAAGGATCTCTGCGAGTGGTGACTTACAGCCTGGAGCTGAACCCGCAATGGCAAGTGCAAAAGAGGCATGAGAAGTTAATCAGCACCCTAATTTTTTTTTTTTTTTTAAGGAGTAATTGTGACTGAAGTTCAGCTGTTGAAGGCCCCTGAGGGAAGCCTATCCCTCAGGCTGTTTACCTCCACTGAAGCTGTTTACTTGACCCTCTATGATTTACAGGCATAACCAAATAAAAACATCCAGCAAAGTTCAAACAGCTAGTGACGCATTAAGGGTGTTATAGAGGGGACAGTACTGTGTTCGATGATGGCTCACAGCTGGACCTCCCCACGTCACCTAAAGCAATGAGGATGAACTAAGCAGACCACATACCCAAAGTTGTTCTTTCCCAGACACTTAAAGCTTCTTTTAACTGGGTGCTGATCAAAATGTTCATTTCACTGGAACTCTGTATAATTCAATAATTTAAGAGGAGTCTTTGTAAATTAGCTTCGAGTCCCTGATGTGAGCACATAAAATCGTGTACCAAGTCTGGGGCATATTTCATCATATTTCAACATTGTTAGCATTTGGCCATTTGTACAATGTTGTTTATGTTTTGACAAGGGGAGCATTGTTGTGTAGCAACGGATCCATTTACATAATTTCTTGATGTTGTAAGCACTTACATAATGGGCCCATTCATTTGGATTGAACTGCAGCTCCCTTCAAGGCCCCTGGACCTGCAAACAACCGGACACACACCCAAACGTCTGCTGGCTCGCACCGTTTATCAGAAACCTACATCTGCCACACGTCGGGATGGGAAATGCCGTCTTGAGAAAATGGATGTGGGGAAAGCGAGCAGAGGAAATAGAAAGAATTGATTTCGTCTCATATACAGTTGCAGATGTACCCCAGCATATGTTGTGGATCATGTGACATGCTGTGGACACATGTTAGGCAAATGAGCAGCCAGAACAGGATTTTGTTGTGGCTACTCCTGAAGCAGAGGAATCATCTGAGAGGGCATAGTTTAGATCATGTTCTCTCAAAGAATGATGTCATCCCTTTTTTGAATTAGCGGCTCGGGTCACATTTGACCTCTTCATGTACTCGTGTACTCCCGGCAGGAACACATGTGGCTGAAAAACATAGTAAAATAAATGGCATCTTGCCTCATAATAAAATAGTCTCTTTGTTGAAAACGAAGTAATTGTTGACAACCTTTGCACTTAATGTTGGTATAGTTTCAAAGAACACATTAAATCTACGTTGGCATCCCTTTCTAGGTGCCATTTATTATTGGAAAACAACATTGTTCAAACATCTAACACAATTCCTCACAAGCTTCTCTGTTCTTTTTCATTTATTTGTCATTTTACAACCACACATTTAAGTGTATTTTGTTTAAATTTTAAGTCATATACCAGCACAATGCAAGACATGATTTAGACAAAAAGAGATTGATAAAAGACTTCACTTTTTTTTTTACACATAAAGACTTGAAAAGTGTGGTGAGAATTTGTATTAAACCCCATGAGTCAAAACTTTGTAAAACCACACTTTGCTGCAATCAAAGCTAAGCCATGTCTCTACCCGCTTTGCCTATCCTGAACCTGAAAATGTGTCTCATTCGTGTTTGTAATGTAGCTCAAGTTTGATCAGACTCCATGGACCCAACAGCTTTCAAGTCCTGCCACAGATTAAATTTAGGTTAAGGCTTTGGCTTTCCCCATATCATATAAATCTAAATGTGTTTTTTGTCTCACTGTTGGAGTATGAACATCTGCCACACTATTCCAGGACTATGCCCCGTCTGTGACTCCATCCTTCTTTCCATCATCTCTGACCAGCTTCCTTGTTCCTTTTGAAGAGTATCATAACCGCAGCGTGATGCTGCTGCTGCTTCACGGATGGTGCGTTCAGGGTGTTGGAAATGATCCTTCCATCATCCACAGTGAGCAAAAATGCAAAACTGCACTAGAGACGCATCGTGGAGCCAAAGTGGCGTTTATGTTTTTAATATTTCTAATTCACATATTTAACAGGGTCAGTGAAAACTGATGAAGCTGTTGCGTCTGTTGGAAACAACAGTTGAAACCACAGATCCCAAACCTTGGAATATCCGTCCATGGCGCTTCACTCTGGTCGCACTGACATGCAGCAAAGCTCCCTCATGATAAACATTCACAACTCTGATGTTGACAACTGACAACAGATTTCCCTTGGGGCATCCACTGCAGGTCAAACTATAACCCCGTAAGGTAATGTCTAGGGATTTCATTCAGCCTACTGAATGTTTGAAACATTGTCGCTGTTGTTCTTTGTAAATAATAAATATTTGCAGGCACATAAAATGACAACAGTTCTTGATTTTTGACCCTGATATTTCAAAACTGCTAATCACTTTCTGAGTTAAAAAGCAACTACTATTAGGTTTTGAAACATACTAATTAAGATAGCTGTTCTATGAAAACACAGATATGATGTTCTTAATG